ATTAGAAGTGTCAATTCACAAACAGGAAAAAGAAGCTTCCCATTTCAGAGTAAATTTAAACTTTCCTTACATTAACTAGGAAATATTGGCCCTGCTTACTCCCTAATTTCACTATTATATGTATCTCTTGCTGTGTAATTGGATGGTATCAAAATTGTTTCCCCTTTATTCAGAATTTTCTGTGTTATGCAGAATACAAAATGAACAGCCTTGAAATGTTGTGTGTCTATGTGTTATTGCAGGATGTAAGCAGCAGAGTGTCAGCTGAATCAGACTGCTGAAAACATATAGATCAATAATTTGGTTTATTTTTAGGTCTTATATTGCCCCTCTCTGTCCTAGATCCTTGTAACCTTCTTTTAGCCTGAAAACCTGAAGGTCAGTTTGAAGTCATGATCATGTAATAGTTATTTTTATATCAACAGCTTTATTGGTCTTGGGAGGATATTGTTACTAATTTCTTAATCTTCTGGGGAACGAACTAGAGTCTGGCCAAATTACAAAAACATACAGTGAAATTACAGGGTCTATCACTTCATACATGATCCCCAGTCTCCCCCCCCCATCCCCCTCACCAGCAGCTCTATTTTCAGAAGATATGTGGGTGTTCAGCATGTCTGCAAATCAGATCACAATATTCTGTGTAGCCTGTCAAGGTATATATTTAACATTTCATCAGCCATATGACCAGTTTGGGTATATATATCTGCTTTTTAGAGGTGGGTGGATAGTGAAACTGTTCTGAAAATTATTAAAGGAGTTAAAAGATTACAGAGTTTTACTTTCCTGTAAGTCATTTATTGAGACAAATAATGAACAACAGATATATATTTGGCCTTTTAACCACATTCTGTATTCCTTCAAATTGATGAATTTCAAGGAGATAAATCTGAACACTCTCTGAACACTAGTGATCAAAAGCAACAAAACAGTTTTTCTTAAACAACACAATAAAGAGACAAGTAATTTATATTTTATTAACTGGGACAATTACTGGGAGACAGTATTAAGTTATGGGCATTCAGGAATTCTCTATTTTCTTTAGATATAAAGCACAGATACTGACTATTCTAGTCTTCATGATGGAGTTCACAACTTTGCAGCTGTATATCAGTGGAAACCGGATGTCTAAGAAGCTTTTAAATAAATCAGTATTTAAACAAAATATAAAATCAGTTCCTGTTGTGTTTTTGCACATTGCAATTTTAAGGCCAGAAGTCCCCTCTATGAATTCATAAAAAATGTTAAGGGACAGATGTCAGACTTTTGCCCTACTGCTTTCTTTAATAAAAGTCTACTTCTGTGCCTCTAGGAAGACTTGTCTCTTTCTAATCATCAATGTCAGGACCCCAACTGAACCTGTCAGTACAAAAGAGTCCAGAAATTGCACTGTCCTGCTGAACAGACTGTAAAAAAGAAATAATGGAAAAAGTAAGTTGAGATTATTCCAGAAGAGAGTGACATTAACACCTCTGGAAATTATAAGGAAAAAAAGATTTTAAAAAATTTATTGAGTAGAATGGAAATGTAAATATAATTTAGTCACAAATATCTGCACTGGAATATAACAATGTCAATTTATCAATCAGGGCTATCTGGCAGCTACACCCAGACTAATTCTCTGAGTAAAAGTCAATGTTATACAGAAACAAGCATCCAGAAGATGTTATGCTTCTTGGCATTACACAAGGAGTTATGATTAGTGATGCCCCAGGTGAAAATCCAGGCAAAACAATCAGGGAATCTATTTATTCAGGACCATCACATGTGCTGCACTTCACCACAAGCTATATCTTAAGGCAATTTTCATCTCTACATAATGTCCTGAACCCTCCTATTAAATAGAAAAAACAATATTGGAAGGTTTCTTGCAGTAGAATATATAACCTAGATTTTTCTCTCCAAGTATAAAGCACTGTCCCACTGCATCTCCTCTTTCTATTAAAATGATTTTCTAAACTTTATTCTACTTTCTATTTCTAATTTATTCCACTAAAATATTTCTACTAAAGTATCTTAGTCCTCTTTAAATGTTTTTCAAAGTGCATAGCTTCCTCTAAACACAGTAAGCAACGACTCTTTTATTTACTTTATTAATCATTCCTCCTCTGACCTCTGAAGGTGGCTTTCCTTTTTCACTCTATTCAAGACCTGAATTTTACATCTCCAGGTTGTGGATATTAAAGAAGTTATACAGTTGTTGTCTTTGGAAAGAACTGGTTGCATTGTGTGATGCTTATATTTGATATATTACTGATACATGAGAGAGACTTCAGGCTGCATGATACAACAGGGAAGCTCACAGATATATTTTGAGTTGCACCATGAGGAGCCATGGTAGTGGAATTGTCAGATTTTAACACCAGGATCAAATTTCTCAGCAAAACTGAGGAAAGGGAGAAAGATAGAAAATAAGGACTACAAAGGGAGAGATGGATGGATATATATTTGAATTGTACAGTATGTGGCTTAGAGAAGCCTTTCATGTCATCAAGTGCTGCAATTCCAGAAAATACAGCATGTCATGTACTCCTTCACTACATTCTCAGGCTCTTTCTAGAAACACTTAGAATTCCTGCCCTAACTTCTTTAGTTGGAAGACTGTTTCAGAATGTCACCACTCTGACTAAGGGTGACCTTTAAACTTACCATGGCTGTTTTATACTCATTTGTTCTTTCACTGATATTGCCCCATAGATTAAATAGGTCATATTGCCCTCTGTGTATTTTTGATGTTTGTTGACAGATTTCCTTATCAGAGACTGTGCCAGAATGAGCATATTTTAACCAGCTCATTTAACATTTCCACCATATTGTATTCTCAACACTGTGCTCAAATCTTCCAAGCCGTCTTTTGTACTGTTTTGCAGATAGATACCTAATGGATCTATGGCTTAAGAAAATATTTACAAATAAAATTATAGTCAGACATGAAGCAGAATCTTCAAAGAGCTTACAAAATATATTGAAATCACTGGGAATAGGAACATAAACAGTACTAAAACTAGACACTTAAATCTTCTAAATGTCTATTTCTAATCTAATTAACGAGTCTCTAGTTAACTAGATCCTTGACCATTGCAACACTATAGACCTACATATATTTTGCCTCCTAGGAGTTTCAACCTGTACCTAATTCTAGCATTTAGGATTCAGCAGCAACTAAAAATATTGATAAGTGAATGTAATAAAAGAAAAAGCAGCAGCTGCAGGGAACTATTTCTAATTATAATGAATGATATGGCATCAAAGTTTGCTATGCAAATTGTGCTCTGCACAGTGGTTGAGATTGTTCTAGAAAAGGACATAAACCAATGTCAAATTAAATTGGAAGGCTTTTGTGAAGTGTAAAGATTTTATAGAGCATTTCAAATTTAATTTTAAATTTAGTAGGTATCAATTTTCATGGAAAGAATAGCTGATCCGTGCCATTGCCATTGGACTTTTAATGAAATCTAAATTATTTGGAGAATAAACATAAATTTAAAAAAAAATTTCTGCCCCCTCTTTTGCCCCAACAGCATCACTAGTACATAGAAGCTCAGCAACTTGGCACTAATTAGCCAGTCAGAATTTAAAAAAAAGAAAACCAAAAAAACAAAGGAAAAAAACCAAACCCAAAACCTACCTTGCTTCATGCTTATATAACTTATAAAAATTAGTCTTTTTATGTAACTTGACTTTTTGCCATATTATCTATGAAAAGATTTCTATATATAACTACTATGAATAATTTAAAACATATCAAAGTGGATCCAGAAGAGATTATATCTTTCAAAACTGACCACAGAAGGAAGGACAATGGTTGCAGATTCAAGCTAGCTATTAAAGACAAAATATATGAAAGATAAAAATCCAATTACTTTTTAGCCACTAACTGATCTCAAAATAGAAATGATACAACTTATATCTCTATTTCTTTAGGAGAGTGTACAATACATCCCTTTTTATATCTGTCAAAGGGAGTAAGAACATGGACCCTGTCTGGCAAAGCACCAACGTAGAGAAGCTGCAGTCTGGTCAGCACCTGGGACATGATTTAGTCTTGGACTTGTCCATGCTGGGTTAATGGTTGGACTTGTTAGTCTTAAATTCTATCATTCTATGATTCTAAGTCCAAATCTACTCTTGGCAAGATCTTCCTGATGGAATATCTATCTGCATTCTACTACAAAGCACTTCTTACCTCTTTCAGTCTGTCTGGGCATTTAAGGGCCAACCCTCTGCTTACTAACCCTGTAAAAGTTATTTGGGATACTGTCATCTCTTGGTATTTTTTTCAATATGTTCTACATTCCTAGCTTGTCCCAGTCACTCTTCATATAAGATTGTAACATGAATGTAATAATATTGAAATTAGCTGAAAAGTTCCTTTGACTTCAGAGGGCACTGCATCTGTCTTAGAGCGAAGAAACACACTATTTTAAATTTCAGTTTTGTTTCAATTATATGCCTTGTTCATAAGATATATGGTGCATCCAGTCCAAATGTATTTGCTTTTCATTCTGACAGCCTTATGGATGCACATATGTGGAAAAAGATACTCACAAGAAAGAGCATTATGAAAAGCCAAAGAACTTGAACAGAAATTATGAGATGTAATTATGATACAGTAGCACAATCACCTACCATTTGTTATCATGTTGTGCCTTACACTAATCAACAATTAATAATGCTGAGAAAAAAATGAAAATGAAACTAACGTTTATGAATGACAGGGAGCACTGAAATTCATGGTTTTATTTGGAATATATGGTGCATACTACATTTCTTTGCCATTAAAAAATAGGGAGCAGGAAAGTTTTGTTTGTTAGCAGTATCGTCTAATGTTGTAGATTACCTCATAAGCAAGCAACTGAATTGAAGGTGAATTACATAATGTTTTAAAGCCTTCAAATTATCCTGGAGATAGCCAAACAACTCATTAAAAGAGTAAGAATCTATTGAATAGACTGAAAAATACAATTGAAAATGAACTAAAGTGATGTGTATTACCTTACCTGTGTAACCTTCTCTGTTACATTGTGCGTTCGGTCCTTCACCTTAGGTGCAATAATTGCTTTCTCTGAAGAAGGAGGAGATGAAGATTTTTTTTCACTTTTGATATCTGAAAAGTTCAGTGTGAGTTGAGGAATTTTGTTGATCGTACTGTATTTGTTGAGATTTGAATCCGATGTGGATCCCAACAGACTTGACTTGATATGATTAAAAGGCCCTGAAAAATCAGAACACACATTTACTATCTGGGAAATAAATTATCATTAATAATTTATTAATGGTGGAATATGTTAAAAGGGTGATTAATAACTATTTTTCTATATACTACTTGTTAATAATAAAAACAATCTTTACTAAAAACACTTTTATAATAACTCTTTTGCTAATAAGATTGAAATCTTATATTGGCTATAAATATGACATTTCCCTTACATATAACCCTCAATATTTTTTATAAAGTTGATGGATTCCAAATTGCATAATGCATCTATCCTTACTTGTTTTCATGTTACTGGGAATGCTGGTGTGCTCTTATTATAGTTCTGGCTGAATTTATTATAAAGACTATATGCTCATTTGTTTATAAGGGTGGAAATACGACTTATGATTATGTAAGAGTGCCTGGAATTAGCAAAAGCTCTATTATCATGTCCCTACATTGCTCATGCTCACATGACAGTTCAAAGAAACTGGAAAACTGAGTAGACTCTCAAAATACGTTCCTTCAATTGCTAACAAAATACTGGACACTATAGGGATACTATATATACTTGTATAACCCATATAACTACAGGTAGAATATCAAAAGAGTATATATAAACTTCTTATACTATTCTAGTGTATCATTAAAAATAGAATTTACATACTTCATGAGGTACATATTCGTTATAATTATTCTTTTCCTTATTATACAGAGTTGTTTGAACAAGAAAGCAATATAAATTATCAGAATACTTGTTTTGTGCTGTCATCATAAGGTTCATCGGGAAGCCAAAATATTAATTGCAAGGAAAAGTTGCTTTTGAGAACAATATTGGAAAAAGAGCTATAAAGGTATTTAGACAGTGAGAACTAAATCCACTTAGGGATTTAAGAAAAAAATCCAGGTCTTGCAGTCAGTAGTAATGTACATAAAGTATGAGATTGAAGGATATCTCTTAGATCCACATGAGAACATTATTTAAGGTTGCCTTAATTCCATTAAGGGCAACAATGTGGTGCTTTTCTCTTTTTCTTATTTTTGATGTTTTCTTTTGTCTTCCTGAGAGGAAAACAAGAATGTTTATGTTGATTCAGGAATAGTCAATGGGATAGGATTAGGCCTGTGGGGTAAATTGCAAAGTCAACAGTGGAACAGTTGATTTTATTTACAATGTGAGAATGAATGAGATGCAACCAGCTGCTTGGGAATGGCTGTGGGGAAATGCTTTATGCTGTGTTAATATTTTTTTTTAGCAAAATTATGTAAGCGTGGGTTGATTTTCCATCACACCTGGCTTCAAATGCTTGTTGAAGAAGCAGACATTTAATTTTCTTTTGAAGTTTATAAGGGTCTCTACATGTTTTCTATCTCCTAAACTCATGATAATTGCTTGTTAATCTGGGCCATAGATAGAAAATCTCTATTACTCCATTTCAAATTTTGCCACTGTGCAGAAAGGAATTTAAGATGACAGGGGAGGGCGTGATGCTCTAGACTAAAAGTTTAGGTACAAAAAAGAATTTGTACCTGAGTTCTCTAATCATTAAACTGCTTAACAGTCCTTCTTTTTCTCCTAGTATTTTTCTTTGTGGAACAACTTCATTGGTATAGAGAAGAAAGCACTACCTTTCACCTGCAAGGAATGGTAAAAAAGCCTGCTACTAAGGGCACCACCAAGGGATTATGATACTATATTTAAATGCCTTTTTGCCCAGGGGGGACCTGAATCTATCTTTCGCATAATCTGTATGAGTCTACTAAAAATTAGCGCTCAGAATATATCAGGGCTCACAGTCTCCTCACAAATAAGTGAAGTGACTAATTTGCCTGGTGTGTGCTATTGGACATGTAGTCAGACTGCAGTTTTCCAGCCCTGCTTCCCTGTTAGTTTGAGCAATAATTTCTAAATATTGAATCAGTTTAGATGTAAGCAGGATATTCAAGTTGAAATAATTTGTCAGATCGACAAGATTCTTCGTACCTTAGGAATTCAAAGGTTAAGAGGAAACTAAGATAGATTAGGCAAAACTGTCATTCGATAGTAGGCAAGATTTTGTTTTATTAGTAACTTCATAGATACTTAAATTTGGTTTCTGGGATTTACATCTTTTATTGCTTCCATTCCAAAGGGGATTACTCTCTGTTTTGCTACCTAATACTCATGCCCTAGAGCATGATATTAGGCTTAAGCTCACTGCAGATGAGAATAGAATCTTGCTTTTTTTCCCCAACTTCTTTTGCTTTAGAAAGTGGTGAAAGGTATAATGCACCTCATTGACAATGGTAATTGATTGAAAGACAGTATTAGCTTAAGTACAGCCCAGGCTGGCAGAAATTGAGCTGATACTTGACAGCTCAGTGGATAATTGCTATACTGTTATAGCAGGAAGCAGGAAAAGGGGGCCATAACAAATCACAATCACAATTGATACTAATTGGCACCCTGATTGACAGTTTCAACAGAGAGGCAGAGAAATGAATAAGCAGGGAGAATGACTTGCTTCTGCCCAGCCTAAAAAGGAGAAGCAGGTTAAGTTTGAGCTCCCCATTTTGATGGTAGGATTTCATTATCCTTGCTTCACACTGCATTGAGAAATTATTTCACTCTCCTGAGCTGCCAATTCATAATCTTTCACCAGCAGTAAATACATTTATAAAAATTCTTGTACAGCACAGAAACTATATGTTTTTTCCCCAAGATTTTGCCAACATACACATGAAGCAAATGCAATGATTTTGTAGTCCACAAATTGTTTTACAGAACCTATATCATGCACTGCATGCAGTTTGGAGAGATTTTACCAGGTACACACACTTTTTGCATCATGCATGAAGTCACAAACCAGTTTTCCCACAGATACAAATATGGCAATTAAACGGAGCACTTTAGTAAGTGATCTTCAGAAATGGAGGAAATAATTTACAGATTATGTTCAAATTGCTTCTAAAATATGTAGCTCAATGCTGGTGAAAATAAAAAGTTTTGTAATTGAACTAAATATTATTTGAACATGAAATTGGCAATGAAGTTCATGCATGCACATTTTGATGCTACAGGAAGCTTGAAACCATACCCCCTGCCATCCAGGAACGTGAAACTAGTTTTAAAAAGACAAAAGAGGAATAAGTGAAGATACTTCCACAAGGGTCCTGATTATCAGTTATTTATTTTTGAGAGAGTTAACTGGAAATGAAGTACCTTGTAACAATGGATCATTTGCTAATGTCCTCATACAATCACACATCTTTTTACAGATAAAACTCCTGGTAGCTTCAACAGAAGTTTTGACTGGTTAAGGACAATAGCACTGAGTTAAGTAACTATGATACGCTCTACCTCCATCCCTTCCTTTTTTTAATTAACAGATAATTAAATCAAAAGGCTGTTTAACTATGCCTTCACTTTTCCCAGTGATTCGTAGTTAGTGCATTGAGACAAGAGTTACATGAATAACTACATGTTTAACAAATATAATTTATGCAATAGACCTAGCCCTAGAGGAGTCAACATGAGAATGTTGCATTTGGACATTTCATACAGCAGGCAAAGTAACATGCCAAAAAGTGTGGCTGATTGAAACACTGGAAGGTACAGTCTAGATGTATACTTTACCTTTGACATTGCGACCATTGTCTGGTTTTCAGCATAATAAAAATGGAGAAGAAGACAAAAAAAAAAAAAAGACAACTAAAATCTACATCAGAAAAAGTAGAAAATACAGCTTTAAAGTGTGCATGGTTTGAATTGAAATATTGTTGCACCTCCTTGACTGTATTATGAAGACTTTAAGTGAAGCTGAAGTCACTCTGACAACTGAGATAATGTGTATAAGTGTCTGGAATAGATCATCCGGCAGTAGGACTGGCTTTATCTAACTTGCCTTAATAGGAACATGATAAAATTCTTTCTACACAAGTCTAGCAGTGGGTTGCAGGAAAAAAATTATTTCTTCTTTGCAAAAGTGCCAAGAAGAAATAATTAGTCCCACATAACTGAGAGAAGTAGAGGCAGAAGTGCAGGGTGGCTGAATGGCACGTGGGGCTGCCCGGGAGGCCTGGCACAGACCCCCAGACCCCACACCTGCCTAGACTGATGTGAGGAAACACTTTTAACATGGCAGCAACCTAAGCAATGCCCTTCTGAGTAAGTGCTGGAGAAAAATACACCTTAAACCTTTCTTCACAAGGAAACATCGGCAAAGCTTTCTGTCCTCATAGGCTCACCTGGCCCTGAATCCTCTTGTGAAATCAAAACTTTTCAGGGAGAATATTATTAGTGCTGCTGTCATCACAGTTTTAAAGAAGCCACGCAGTGCAGAGGTGGGCGCCACGCCGGTTCATGTGATAATAATGTGATCCACAAGGCCCCATCCCCACCCTGCGGCCCTGAGGGTGTGAGGGGGCCTGGCAGGGAACCGGGCTTTGCTCCTGGTGCGAGCGCCTGCTGTGCCAAGGCTCCAGCCCTCAGGTGTGCTTTGGGCTCACACAGGCATTCACCTGCTTTGCCTGGGCTGACAGGCCCCCTCTGAGGCTGAGGCGTTTCTGATCTGGCCGTGCCACAGCAGCCCTGTGCCCGTGGAGGGCGTCAGCCCTGCCCTGACAGAGGCCGTGACCTCTGGGAGCATCGCGGACGGCGCCGGGCCTTGCCTCTCCTGCGGCCTCGCTGGCTTCCCCTCGTGCGCCGGGGAGCTCGCACGTCCGGCTGGGCCCTCTGGAGCTGGGCTGTGGGAAGGTGCTTAGCTCTTCCCAGCCCAGTGCCTTCCTGGGGCATGCATCTGTAGCAGTACCAGAGATTAGGCTGAGTTGGGCTCGAAAGCCTGCTGCTCTTTCAGAAGGCTGCAGCGATCTCGCTGAGTCCACTTTGTGAGGACAATAACATTTCTGAACCTCTACCTGACTGCAGAATCTGGATTCTGGCTGGTGTTTCAGATGAGGCTGGCTTGGCTGCATTTTGGGTGGTGAGTGTAGGAAACAGTTCCTGCCCTGTTGCCTTTGTTGTCATATAAGCAAATTTATAATGGAATTTGATCCAGTACACTCAAATGAATTTAAAATGCTAAGCTGTCATTTTTACTGTAATATCCTCTGGCATATAATGGGCACAGTGAAGATAATTTTAAAGCAATAGGCAACAAGGCTACATAATTTAACACATGAAATAATTTCTATTCTCAATTGCATTATTATAAAATTTGATCTGCAGGTAAATTACTGTAGTTAGTATTAGCTAAGTAATGTTATTCTCTTCTTTCAGAATTCTGCTTTACTGATTCAATTAATATTTTTTGAACTGGGAAGGGTAGGAACAAATTGAATCCTGACTTGCATTTTAAGATAGAGTAGTAGTTTTTGAATGATTTGACAAAACTCAAAACAAAAATGGAATGGGAAAGTATTTTAACCGTATTTTTCCTTTGGTAGGAGTTTAGCCATTTGGGACTGTAGTTCACTTTTACTTGTTGAACTTAGGGTTTTGCATTCTCCCTGCTCAGAAACGGCAAGCCTGGAGCAGATGATTGAAGCTGAATCTTGGTAGCCTAACTTGCATGGATAATTTTATAGCAATAATAGGGTTTTATTGCTCACCATCCAGCTAGGCAATTAGGACTTGCTGGATAAATTTAAATATCTTTTCAGCATAATGTGTCCAATTCAAATGTGATTGTAAGCAGATGGTATCAAGGATGGTTACTAACTTTAATGCCTTTCTGAGAGCCATCCTCTCTTCTGCTGAGTTTTTCTAGAATGACAATGTCTGACATAAATTAGGGCCTGGTTCTCTACTATTTTGTAGTTTATGCAAAGTGAAAACAGAGTGACAGTGTTTTGTCTATTTACACTGTAAATGGTCACATCCCAGGAGAACCCTTAGGAATTCAAGAGATTATTGACTCCTCATAGTAGAAATTATTCTCCTTAGTAGTTAACATTTGAAAAAACTTTTTCCATAAAGTGGAGATAGAAATTTTTGCTCCTCTATTCAGCAAGTATAAAATTATGTGGTAATTTATGCATCAGCTTTCTACCACTGTAATCAAAGACACTTAATATTCAAACTGATTCTTACACATTTTCATAGATATATAAATGGATGAAGAATGACCATTTGGGAACTACTACAATGAAAAATGAATATACTGGTGCAAGGAGAAAATCATACTTAAATGAAGTTCACACTAAGCATTTCACTAAGTATTTCACTATTCGTTACACAATACATGTCAATGGAATTGCTGAGGATTGTTCCTTCAGCATGAGAGAAAAAACATGTCTCAGGGTTGGATCAGTGAATGTAAAATCTGCACATTACAGATTTAAGAGAAATAAACTTATCAGTTTCTGAAGTAGCATTTCATACAATCAAAGACAATCTAATATATGTAAGTATAGGAGAGAATGGTACATGCTATTATAACTTGATCACCTGAATTTTTTTTTCCCCTAAACCCCAATATTAGCTTTAGGAATGCTGGACCCAATATTTGCTATACCCTGATAGAGAAGATCAACACCATGATTCCATTAGTCTCCTTGGAAATTAAAAACAATATTTAGTGTACATAAGCCCAGCATATTTGGGGCCCTTAATATTTTCAATGCACCATTGAGTCATTAAATTTAGCTTTGTTTGCAAAGTGATGATTATTATGATGAAATATTGAAAAAATTCATTTTTTAGTACATCAGAGAATAGTGATTGACTTTCTACCATACCTTCACTTGCATGACGATCCCTAAAAATGTTCTTGGGATGGACATTAAAGCCTTCTATGTCATGTACTGAAGACGCTCTCCGTATACTACAAATACTTTCCTTTGATCTGGAATGGGTTAGTGGATTGCTTGTCTGTATCATGTCAGGATAAAGTCTGTCCCACTGCTGCTTGGGTGATGAGTGGTCAAGAGGTCCAGATATATTAACCAAAGGTGAACATTTACTGTGTTGGATCAGTGCTTTTGTATCATCCACTTCTGAAGGACTACAGCTTTCTTTTGTAGGTGATTTAAAGTGCTTCATTGCCACTGAGTCATCGCTGTGCTTAGATGAATCGATTATGACTGCATCAGGGTCTTCCTGGGGCAAGGACTGCTTTCGGTATGTCAGAAGTCTCAGTCCGGGTAGCCGGAACCCAAAAAGTCTGCCTACATGTAAAAACACAGAAACAGAAAAAAATATTACACATTAGTGTCTGGTCATTGAAATCAGTTTTTTTTTTTTTCACTTACAGTGAATGATAGTAGCTATTCCTAATAAACTAAAATGTCTAGTAATGGGATGTGTAAATATACAAATATAACTCCAAGTTTGTTGTAGTTGGGGTGTTAAAAGATTTCATAATCCAGTCAGACCTGAGTTTTTTAGCTTAGAATAGGAATAAAAACATTTATTCTACAGCCTATTTTAAAAGCTATGAGGTTCAGATGATCCTTTCTAAATTAAAAATCTATGTATCTATAAAAGCCTGCCAGAATATGTCTAACGTTTTGCTTGGTAGTTGTTATCCTGAAATAGATATTTGTGGATTCTAATAGTAGTGGAACTCCATGTGCTTATAAATGTGCTGCTGATATATGCATTTATTTGCTGCAGGTTAAACAAAAAGATACCAGGGCTAATTTCTTAGGAGAGAGAAATAAGCTGTATATCAGTTTTGCTAAAATCCTCTCCAATACTTACATCTGATGATTAGATGAAACAATTTTAACAAGTTTGAAATGAAAAGTAAAGGAGCAAACAATGAAAAAGAGCAACACAGCTTTCAAGCCTCGGTTGCACCTATAAAATGAAATTATTTTTTACATTTACATGGGATGGGCTGAGTTGGGCTTGGTGTGTTGAATGGCAGGGGAGACTATCCTGATTATGTGGAAAAGTAACACTTTGTGTAATGGTAAGAAATATCAGTAGCTGAGAGGAAGAGTATAATATGGTGCAAAGAAAGAAACTATAGAGGAAGAATTTAGTGCAAACTTTAGAGCAAAATTTACAGAATACCCTTCTAAAAAGCCAAACCTAAATAACAAATCTTGTAAGGTTTTGTGTAATACAACTCACAGATGGAGGCACAGGGACTTCAGATATACAAAAACATATTAAACAGTTTAGAAAAAGCAATGCTAAAGAAAGTTTAACAAAATAAAATAATTTAAAAAGTTGAAATGATCAGGTGCCATTGTATAAACAGTTTAACTTATTAAATAACTTTTTGTATCTCATTGCTTTGCTACATAAGTGTTTTCAACAATGAATCATTAGTGAAATGATTTCTTGGAGAATATTTCAAAGTATATTCTTATTATCTCTTTTTGGGATAAGAAGTTCTGTTTGGGATAAGGTAATTTTTTTTCAATCAGTTTAAATTTCCAGCATTTGTAGCTACCTAACATTTATTAATATTTAACACAGCAATCTATCATTTGATACTGATATATTTGGAAATAGTCTTTCTTCTATGCCTATGGCAGACAGTAATTGGAGAACAATAGATGACCCAGCTTTATAATTTAATATTTTTAAATGGATGTCCTATGTATTTAGTATTGAATATCAAATATGTATTTTGAATTCTAAATGAATAATAGTGAGAATACCATGCTCAGGGAAACCTGCCTAAGAGCTAAAGCTGCAGTACTAGATGACACCAAAGGTCCATCTAGCACACTGTTCACACTGTTAGACCTTGGTATTTTCCAGTGGTGGATACATGAAGAAAGAAATTAAGAGTCACTGCATTGTGTTATTTCTCCAGATAAATTTACTCAGTTTCTTGCTATCTGAATTTCAGAAACTTCCTGAGATAGACTGTTTGTTCCAACCACAAACAATGTTTGATGTACCTTTCTTCTATGAATTTGTCTCAGTGTTTTTAAGAAATGGTTGTAGTTTGATCTGCAAAGCATTCTATACAAAAAGAATTCCATAATTTTAGCATATGTTTGTGAAAAATACTTCGTCTTACTTGTTATACACTTGTTGCCTTTGGGAGGGTTCTACTTCCTATAAAAAATAGCTAATAATACTCCCTTTTTATAGTCTTAATATATTTACAGTTTTTCATACATCTGCTGAATTGCTCTCTTTATACTTGTTCTGCAGGCTGAAGATTGCTTTTGTAACTGTATTGTGTACCTCTGAACATCCTTCTCATTCTTCTCAGTTACTTTTTATTTCTAATGTAATCCTTTTTGACAACAGCCTGAGCTACTCCCAGATTTAGGGATCAATGCTGTGATATAATGGCTTTTTTCTTTGACCTTTGCTTGCTTCCTTTATAATTACCAATATTTAATTAGATTTATTTTCCTAACTGTGCTAACTTAAGATATATTGGCAACAGCTACGGTATTTTGTTGTTGATTGGTAATAGATAATTTATTCTCTAATATTGTGTCTAAAAAAAAAAAGCTTTTGCTGTTTTATCACTTGGCCACTCAGCATCTTTGTATAAGTCTTTGAATCTCATGTAATAGTCTGAATAATTTTTTTCCATTCTCACCTCATTGTTAGAACCTTTTTTATCCAAGTAATTGAAAATGTACTATAAAATAGAAAACCTGTAAGACTATTGATAACATACAAGTGTTTAGAAATCTGGTGATTTATTTCCACCTTTTTTCTCTACTTTAAAATATAAATCCATGTAATAATATTACTTTTTTGTCCTTGTCAATTTTAGAAAAAGTTTGTTGAATTCCAAATATTTAGCATTGAATTTATCACTCCAAGCATATACACACAACAGTAAAACAGAAAGAAATCTCTGTTACATAAACCAGAGTCATGCATCTTTAAAACAGCAGTTAAAAGTGCCAAATTTCAGTCTAAACAGTGATATTCAGCAGACTGCTCCATGGGAGTGTGTAGATTTCTTCTAAATAAGCTTGAAAACTACAACTGCTCAGAGTTGAAATTAGTGAAGAACGTAAAAAAAAATTATTATTTTTAAATGCATGTAGAATTGAGCTATAAAGCAGCTTATAAATCAATTTTGAAAGCTTATTGCATCCAAAGTGAAAAAATACTATAATTCTCTTTTTTATCAATTACGCTGAAGTTCTTAAAAACACCATTCATAAGGATTTCTGGCATTAGACACTATTCAAGGCTTTTTGCTGGCACTCTATTTTAGTCATATTCATGGTGCTGCAGATGGTCTTTTCTGCCTCACCACGTTAATATGACCACGTTATACTGCATTACTGATTTAGCTGTCTGACTGCAGTTCAGCTGGAAAGAATACTCAGTGAGAATTTTGCTTCTTGTTAAGACTTTTGGGCATGAAATAGAAAACTTAGATGAGCAGCCTTTTGCTTTTCATCTATACAATGTAATAAATAGTCTCAAACTCTATTTCCAGCTTTTTAATTTGAATATTCCTAAGAGAAGGAGTACTGTTATTCTTCAGTGAACTGGTAATGAGCTACATGGTGTGTTGAACATTCATCTCTCTCCTGTAACTGAAGTTTTCAGGGGGGCCATTCAGAATTTGTATAGTTTACTGATCTGAGCTGAGCAAGGAAGTGTAATAACACAATTTGTCACAAAGGAAAATTCATTCAGGCCTCAGGCCTATTGTCCAAGTACAGACCAAAAGTGCCAGTGGAAGCTTTCCTGGCATCCTGCTTATGGGGTGAAATCTTTTGTTTTGTAATGGACAACCCCTACTTTGTGTAAGTATGATGTCAGAGCAGATGGATCTGGCTTACAATTCCCAAACAATTTTCAGATGCAACTGGCTATTTACTATGAATTCAGAGATAATGTTACATTAAAATCCTTATGCTTATTAAAGACTAGATTGCCAAATTCTTATTAATGCTGAGTCAGAGATTTGTATGATTGTGTCTTCCTAAGAGTAATTGAGGAAAGCAGTTGAGTCTGAGTCACATTTCCTGACTTACTCCACCTCCTCCTTTCAAACTTCACTTTACTGAATAAATAATTTGTAAATGAGTTAATCTGTTGGTTGCACTTATTCTCTGTGCCATCTCAGCTGTTAAAGTTTTTAAATAGTAGAACTCAGTCCAAAAATATATCACTGTAGATGATTTACAACCCTTCTAAACTGTTTGCAGATAGAATTGTGTCCAAAGTCAAACTCAAATTGACTTTTCTTGTGTTCCTGAAGCCTTTTTTAATTCTGTCTCATATTTTGGGAGATCAAAGGAGAAGACTTAGAATTAATGGAAAGAAAATGTTTAGATTAATAGTTTTGGGGAAAAATCCTATCTTGATAAGAAAAATTAATATTCTTGTTTTTCCATATGTATTGCAAAAAGAAGCGCTAACATTAATAGAAAATTGCTATTCTTAGACACTGAATACAACCATATGGAATTTTGTGTCCAGGAAAAAAAAAGAAAGAGTGTAAATTAGTTCCCAAAAGACTGTATCAACAGCTACAGTCATGGCTGCAAATTTTCTACCCCATCAATACAAAATGGGGTATTCCAGAAAAAATATCTGAACAAAGGTTTATTTCATAACCCAATACATTTGCATGGCTAGTGATTCTTGTGTCTGTTCTGTGCAAACATTTTATAAAAAGGAAGGGAAATTATATTTGGTCTGATCATTCCCTTGATATAATGAAGGCCATCCCCAAATTTCTAGTGATGAAAATGTATATTTACATACAAGACACAGTGGCTAAATCAGAGAAATGCCTGCAACTGAGAGAGTTTTACCTTTACAAATTCTTTAGTGGTCTCTGGGTAGTGGGAGATGCTGTGTTATCTCCCAAAGTTTGTTTAGCTGATGTCAATGGGATTCCTGCAATACTATCCCAAGCACTGCAGAAGGGGAATCCTAAGAGATGGCAGCTGAAAAGTTGTGACGGCTCCTCAAAAAAATTGCTCAGCCAGCTTTTGTAGCACCACTGGTAGTATTGATATTTTCATGCTGATGCAAAGCAGTTAGCCAAACCCCAGAATGTGAAAGCAAAAGGAAAAATACAAGCTGGTCTCAGGCTCCCTAGTTGGCAGCTTGATTTAGTCTATTTGTCTCAACCTTCTCTAGATTTAGACTTTCCAAAATCAAATCAGAAGAGCTCAAATGTAAAAAAGTTTGCAGGAGGTTGTCTACGTGAGGTGTAGAAACTGTCAGAACTGTTTCCTGGTGTGATGTATCACTTCTCCTAGGC